ATAATAAACAACATAATTACTTTATATTATAATTATTGTAATAGTGTTTTAAACTGTACTGAAGTGGGGATAAGATAATTCATTAGCCCGAAATGCATATGTAATATTTAAAAGTTACTACAATAAAAATTATACATCATTAACCTGGATAAAGTGAGCCGTGAGAAACAATCAACCTGATTTACAGGATTAAAGTGATTATTATTATTATTATCTTCAATAATAATACAGTATCCCAACAAATAATAAAAATTCTAAGTTTTTATTACATGAATTTCCTGTCAAAATGATGTATGTCCAATTACAAAATAATAAAACAAAGTACAATAAAATAGTATTATTTTATGTAAATCTTATTGGACAGTTAAAGGAAAACTGTTTTGAAAAGGATTTTTGATGTTCCAAATTTCTATAATTATTTGCACTATTCATCAATATCCAAAATCAAACATTTACCTTTCTTCACTAGAATATTTCGTTATTCTGTGTGATGTGCCAAAGTTATTCACATTTTCTATACTGGAACAAGAACTGGATGAGAGGGCAATCTGCTCTGTTTTACTTGTTGTGTGAGAACTTCCACCGATGACTGTAAGGACTCCTTCATACTTCACGTCCGTTTTCACAACCGATTTTAATTTGCCTTCTTCCCATAAACTTTTCATAAGTGAACAATGTTAAGAAAAAATTTATAGACTGTCCACTCACAAACAAACAAGCATCATTCAATAACACTAAATAAATCATCTCTATAGAAAGAAAGAGAATTTATCGTTATCAGCTACTCTACAGATTAACAATGTAGAATTAAAAAAAAAAAAAAACTAAACTTGTCATTCAAGTTACAAAATATTGGAATATGAGTTCATTTTAATAAAAACAATCTTTTTTTTTGTATTTTTGTGCCATTAGACATTTCAAACGCAGACATCTACACTAACTACATGACACACATTTAAAAATAATACTTTGCTTTGTAGTGTGATGTGATGTTTCTTATTGTTTCGGGAAAACTGTTTGTATTTATAATGAAGATTCATTGTTGATGAAGCTTTGTCCTGTTTCTGTATGAGGTAACAGCATTATTTTTGTGACAGATTTTGGAAATTGTTATTTATGTTTTGTTCATGTCACTAGTGTTTTTCCCTGAAGTTCTAGTTGTATGTGTATCCAATGTACAGTACAACTGCAAATAAATATATGTTACCCTAATTTTTATGTATTTGTTGTTTTAATTGTACATTTTTCAATTAAATTCGATACTAACCTGTTTTTATATGCTTTTTATGGAAAAGTTTAAAATATTTTTAGACTTCACACTTACTCAGACTTCAACACCACCTCTATTATTAATAATACAGCATCTCAACAAACAATAAAAATTCTAAGTTTTTATTACATGAATTCTATTATTATTATTATTTTGGGTTTTGTGAGTTATACTCGGTTCACACCAGTGGCTGTGTACTATGCCGAACCAGAGTCACGGCATAGCAACCAAAACAAAACTAAAATTAAATAAGTGTGTCAGTGTGTGTTTCTGTATTCAGGAATTTCCTAACAATGTGGCATGTATTCAATATAGTGGCCTTCTGTAGTGTGATGTATGTATTTCTACTCAATTGTAATGTTCCCAGGCTTTTGTGTAGTGTGTGTGGTATCACACCTGTACAGGAGAGAACGACAGGTACAATAAGCACC